TTGGGCTGCCTCGGCTGGGCAGCATCACAGGGCACCTAGCAGAAGTGTATCCCATAGCAGAAAGGGAATTCGGCGGTTTCTCGTCTTGCAGGCTTTGCAGTGTGCGTGGGCATAAGGTCAGAGAAGGAAGAGAAGCAGGCAGGCAGGGTGCCTCCACCACTGCAGCACCGACAGGCTGCACCCTGGGAGGAGACGGGCACATCACAAAGGCTGCCTGACCGAGCGTCACCTACTTAGAAAATGTTTTGTTTTCTTCACATAGGATGTCATAAAGTGTCCCCTGTTTATACTTAATTGAGTCCGAATTAATGCTGAGCAAGCACCCTGCGGTTTTCTGCCTGTGCGCTGTAACCCGGAGACAATTCCAAAGAAATAAGGCAAGTGGAGCGCAGAAGCTGCACCCCTGCCCCAAGAAATGCCAGGTGGAGGCAGCAGGATGGGGCTGGGGTCCCACACTGCTGCCTGCCTGCCTGGCCCTGCTCCCCTTCTCCCAGCCACGCTATCGCCCTGCCTCATGGCTGCCATGGGGCAGATGAAAGTGCCTAAATGTGAGTGCTGAACACCTCGGAGCCTTGCTGCAGTGCCAGGCTCATGGGTCTGTTGTGTGCTTGGGGAGGGGCTGGGGGTATCAGCCTGGTGACGTACCTGGGCCAGGCAGCAGTGATCCCCACCTTTGCTGGCCATGCAAACCTACAGCCACTGTAAGTGCAGGCTGGCGTTACAGGTTATGATTCAGGTGTCAGTTTAAGCACCATGGATCCATTGGTTAGCATGAGGTTTTGGCTGCACACATCTTACAGATGACATACCTTCTATGTGACGCTTTGAGTCAAAGCTGGGTTAAAGCATCTGTGAAGATAATAGTGAAGTGTGAAGCAGTGTAACTCTGTTATATTGGTCCCTTAATCTTGGGAGCTGATGCCCTGAAAGGGGGGCTGTGAGTGATAGCATCTCTCTGTATGTGGGAATTAGCCATCAGTCCTCATTTCATTTCACTTCTGCAGCACCATTTGCAGCAGAGGACCCCAGCCCTTTCCTGGGCACAGCCTCCTGCCTCTGCCGATCCCTTCAGACAGCTCAATATCCCCAGTGCTGGTGTGGGGGGATGTTCAGAGCCTGGGGAGAGGGAATGTCCATGAGGGGCAGAGCTTGGTCTTTGCAGCACCTCTCAGGGATTTCTGGCAGTCCTGCCAGAGAGGGGAGAGATCCACACTCGAGACCTGCCCTGCAGTAAGCTCCGTGAAATTCAATTTAGCTCTCACAAAGAGAGAAGAGCTGAGTCAGCCATGGCTAGATTTTTTTAAGTGGATAGAAATGCTATGATGTATTTCAGGTCTTGCAAGGGTCTGTACGCCATTCCGTGTGGATGTGTATGCTTGAAATTAAAAGTGGTTGGACCAGACATCACTGGAGCAGGAATTATGCATGAGTTGGCTAAAGGTGAATTTGGAAACTAGTATTCATTATTCACACTTCTTCTCTAGTTTAAAACCTGTGAGTGGATTTTTGCAGAGGCAGAAAGGGACCAGGAACAGCCAAACCCACATGTGCATCCTTACAGCTGGCACGTCCCCTGAGAACGCGAGGAGATGAGGAGATGAGCTGGAAACAGAATAAAAGCTCAGCCCCTCACCTGCAGCTGCTTCATGGAGGTTGCTGCCCTCGAACATCCCCTCATTGCCCCGGCTGCCCCTTCTCTGCCAATGGCGCTGGTGTGACCTCTCAGGCGGGACAGTTGGGTACTGGCTGCTCTGGGAGTGGAGAGCGGCAGCCGGAGAGCTGATGTCCTGGCAGCATGCTGCCACCACCTCGTTGCCCGCCGGGAGCCACTGCCAGGCTCCCAGCCTTCATTCCTGAACCTGAAACGGCTGTCGTTTCCTCTGGTAGAGCGGTGTATGTGAAAAATTAATTCAGAGGGAAGGAAAAATGCCACCAGTGCCCAGGGCTGGGAGAGCACAGGGCAAAGAGGCACAGATAGGGCTGGGCTGGTGAGAAGTGTTGCCAGCTGGTTTTGGTGGTGGGGGCAGCCCAGGAGCAGGAGATGCCCTGGGGCTGGGGACACCATGACTTCCCCACAGCCCGAGCAGATGAAAGCCACTAGTCCACCCTAAACTGGCTGCTGATGGGGAAAAATGAGCCACCCAGCTCCTTTTGTTCCCAGTCCTGCTCTTTGCCATGGCAACCCCAAGAGGCCATGCTCCCTCTTCCCCACTTTGATAAAGGCAAATTGTGCAGATGATGCTGGGGGCAGCTCTCTTGGCGAGGCATTTCTAGGGTAATGCTGAGCAGGCAGCAGTGCAGGAGCTGAGCAGGGAAATGCAGCTCTTCTGGGGGAAAAACCTAAACCCAAGTTGCTTAAACCCAGTCTTGCTTCCCACCTTTTTATTTGTGAGCTCTTCTTTACTGATGTACTGACTGTGGTGTTCCTGCGGGCAGGGACAGCCCATCCCTGGTGTGGGAGGAGGTGTTGAGGTGCCAGCAGAGCTCGGGGCTCTGGGCAGAGCTCACCGCGGCACATGCTGGCTGCTCATCTCCCCAGCGTGGTAGTTCTCTCTGCCCGTACCGTGCCCTGACACTGCTGCACTTTCTGCCTTGCAGCCTCCCCCTTCATCATCGCCATGCTCCTGGCCAGCCTCAACAGCTGCTGCAACCCCTGGATCTACATGCTCTACACGGGGCACCTCTTCCACGACCTGATGCGGCGCTTCCTCTGCTGCTCCACGCGCTACCTGAAGTCGCGGCCGGCGTGCGACCTGAGCGTCAGCAAGAAGAGCAACTCCTCCTCCTTCGTCCTCGGCTGCAAGAGCGTGAGCCAGAGGAGCTTCATGCATCCATCCACGACATGAGGGCATCGCTGGCCGGGACCTTGCTCTGCCGCTGCGCTGCCTGCCTCCAGCACTTCCCTGTGAAAAGCTGGGATTCGGACAAGCAAGGGGTTTCTCTATAAATAGGTGTATATATGTCTGTGCGCATGTAAGCATGTACAGCCGTCATTATTTAATGGAGGCGGGAGGAGGGGGAGCACTTCTGTGGTCCAGGTTTCAGTGCTGCCTGCGAGTGGATGCCAGGAACCCTCTCCCAAACCCCCAAACCACTGACATCGGTGGCTTTTGGATACCACCAGAGGGGCAGTTTTTGCCCCAAATGATCCCGTGCTGCTGAGGCAGATGTGCCACGTCCCTGTTGGATGCAAGGGGCTATAGGTGCCATCCCAGGCACCCGGGCATCAGGCACCCGGCCCCACCTGCTCCTGCGTCAGCAACCCGGTGGGATGGCAGGGCCTGGCTGGGCAGAGCTGCGAGCACATGTGTGCACTTGCTTTGCTTGAAGCGCTGTGGGACAGAGCCAGCCTTTTTTGCACGGTGCCAGCGCTGCTTCCCCCAGCCCAGGCTCACCGGTGGCACTGCCAGCACGGAGCAGGGCAGTCCTGCTGCCACGGGCTGGGGGCAGCGGTGGGAACAGGGCTGGGGACAAGCCTCCCAGGGGACAAGGCTAGTGCCTGGGTGTCCTTACCCTCGCCAGCTCTGCTCCGAGTGCTGTGTGAGGCTGCGCAGATGCATCAGCTGGAGCCAGGGGAGCAGACACGACTGCAGGGTCAGGGGATCTGTGCAATAACATGTTTGCTGAGTGTGCTCAAAAGCTTCTCTGAAGTCAGGCTTGTGGGACTACAGCCGGGTTCCATGGGGTTTCGTGGAAAAAACTCTTGTTGAGTCCCACAAGGCCAAGCTTTTGCTTCGGGTTTACCGCAGATCGCATTTAGTCCTTTACACCAATGCAATTTTCTTGCTCTGTAACGCACAAGGTCATGCTTATGGCATGGATTTTTTTATTGTTAAGAAATACCTGTAAATAAAGTTTTCTGATTGTGTCTTGATTGAAGGTGGGAGGGGAAGTGCAGAAGGAACACTAGACTAAGAAAATGAAGGAAACCGATGGGAAATGAGTCTTTAAACGCAAGACCCAAGTATACTCCGTGTAATGATGCTTTTGTTTATCAGGTACTGCACCGAGCACTGAAGGTCTGCACAGCCCTTTATTCCATACCATGAGGCTGTGACACAGCCCTTGGCAGGTGGGACAGCTGGGGTGAAGTGCAGCTCTGGCTGAGGGCAGTGGGAGCTTTCCGGAGAATTTGGTGGCAGTGCGATCCGGTGACTGCAGAGGGATGCTCCTGCCTCTGCTCCTGCCGCCTCCCGGATCTGCAGCCGGGGGATGCGCAGAAGCCAGGCCTGCATGCAGTCAAGGGTAATGTGATTTGGCTTTACATGCTGGGAATGAGCATAAAAAATGAATTTAAATGTGTACTTTATTTTTTCACTGTCATCGACAGGTACATTTTCACCTTCCATATCCTGGCATTCCTTTGATTTTTTTCTAGTAGCTTCAGGTGAGCTCTCAGCACATTTGCTGAATATGATCCAGCACATTCAGTCTCAGTGCATGTTACCAGACTGGTCTAAATCCTTAGGAACACATAGAACATTTTCCTTCCATGTTCATCTTCTTTCTCCTTGAGAATAATTAGCTCCTGCACAAAACAAGGCGGGTGGTCCCATTTTATGGGGACCCAGGGACCTGGCACATCCTCCGTCTGCCAGGAAGGAAACACAGCCTGGCAATAAATTTATTGGGACTGATGCACAGAGCAAGGAGGGAGCTCCGGGAGAAGCAGGCTGCTACCTTGTGAGCCCAGGTTGCCACTGCTGGCTGCAACTATGGGGTGAGGCAAGCAGGGCCGTGCCCCCACCCGTGGGGACACTGGAATCTGCAGCCGGCATGCTGCAGCTCATGGATCTGGAGGAGTTCCAGGCTTGTTTACCGAAGGATGTCGAACAGACTCCTGAAGGGTGAAAAGCAAAATAGAGGTGCTGGTGTTTGATCAGCCTGTGTTCCACGTGCAGGGAACCTGTAGACCACTGCATGGGGAGAGATGAGAATTGTGGAGTTTTATTTGGGTTCAGGCTGTGAACTACTAGAACAAAAAGCCATTAAAAAGAATATAATCCCAGTATTGTTTTAAATTATTTTTATTCCCACAAAAAAGCTTTATAAAATGCTCATGATAAAATATTTTTGGAGACTTTTTTCCCCTAGAAATATCTAAATTTTTTTTTTTTTTTTTTTTTTTGTATCACTCCATCCATCTTGAGTCCTGGTGTTGCTAGAGCATGGGTGCTATATTGCTATGGAATAATGAAAGTCCACACTCCCAAGCCATTGGAAGAGCACCAATAGAAAATCTGGCTCTTTCTTGTCCTTGGCATGGCACTAGGAGAGACTTTGGCACCAAGTCTTTGTTGGAAGCCAGGGGAAAACAGCACATGAATACAATTGAGAATAACCTCTGAACAACAAGACCTCCTGGGCCCTGGTTCAGCAAAGCACTTAAGGCCAGAGCCAAAAAAGCGTTTAAGTGCCTCAAAGTTAAAGTATGGCTTCATGGAAGATGGACTAAACAAATTAATTGACAATACAAGGGAGGAAATAGCTCTGAATTGGATCATTCCTGTGTTTTCACTGGAGCTGCTGGGAGCGGGCAGTGTCCTTGAGGAGGCTCCTTCCTCTGCTCCCGCAGGCACATCTGGGAGAGCTCCACAGGATGCTGTGAGCGAGGCACGGCTGGAGGGAAGGGTGCAAGGCAGCATGTCAGACCTGCGTCTCCCACCTTGGGCAGAGCCCGAGTGGTCAGTGATCCTGCCCACCCCCCAGCCTCAATCGCTCTGTCCCAGCTCTGGGCTGGCAGCTAAAGCAGGGCAGGGCGTGGAGCAGAGGAACAGCCCTCGCTGCACAAGGTAAACCCATCACTGGAGGCTAGAGCTTGGCCAGCGTCAAACAAGCAAGCACGTCGTCAATGTTCTCCCTGAGAAACAAGGCAGAGCTTTACTTAAAGCCAAGCTTGTCATTGCTAAGGCAAAATCACCAAAATCCATGTGTTCTCATTGCTCCTCAGGGTGCTGCCCGCTCTCAGCCCCGGTGTTCTCGTGGGCGATGCGCAGGAGAGCTGCCCACCTGCGCTGTACTGCCCGCGCATCCTGGCCACAAAGCGGAACGATGACCCAAAATTAAATAGCGTCACACTACCACGAGTGGTTTTGCAATTGCCAGTGGCCCAGGCCCAGCACGTGCTCCCAGGAGGCAGACACAACGTTTCATGCACTAACTGATCTGGATTACAAAGCTTTGCTGAAATGCAAACACACATTAAAAAAAATTTGTTTTCCCTATTCTATTCACAGAACTTTTGTGCAGCGTGATTTAATACAGAAGCTTCCACAACAACAATTATTTGCAGCAAATAATAATTCATACGCAAGTATTTCTCTTAGTGTCATGCTAGACCGAAGGGATGGAGAAGCAGGCAGGGTTTGGTCTGTTGTCCAGCAGCACTCTGCACCCCTGCTTGTCACTCTGCAGATGCAGGCTGTGGCCCAGGGCTGTGGTCCAGGCGATGCTGCAGCCCCTCCCATAGGAGCAGGGCATGATGCTGGGGGGTCCCGGAGAGCAGAGGGCTCTCCCTGGACTGCTCGCTGAGCCTTGATGGGCTTCTCTTCTCCTAAAGCTGCTGGCTTTGGGATGGAGTAAGGAGCAGCCTGTCGTTCCTCCATCTGCAGGGAGCATCCCCAACAGCCAGCTCTGCCGCGGGGCCCCGCTGCACTGCACAGGTCCCAGGGCATGAGGGTCCATGTGCCCGAGGACAGAGCACACTGCTGGAGCCATGGAAACCTGCGCAGAGGGGTGGTTGTGCAAGGGCTGGATGGGGTGGCTGTAGGGCCCTAGAACTCCTTCCGGAGAGCAACTCTGATGTTGCTGCACATCTTGGAGAGAGCCTCAAAGAGTGGGTCACAGAAGGTGTGGATGCAGAGGGAGTATATTCGGCTGATGCACTGAATCTCTATCAGGTAGCTCTTGATGCAGGGCACCACTGCCCAGATGTGGCAGAAGGAGATGAGGGCAAAGATGAAGCCCCAGAGGACTGCCAGGGGGATGCCCAGGATGGCAGAGAGCAGCCGGTAGCACCAGTACTTGCTGACGGTGAAGGTGGTGTAGCTGGTTTTCCAGACTCCGTCAAAGCTGTATGTTCCCACAGGCTCAGCTATCACATCCTCAAAATCCACCTGAGAGGAGAGAAGATGGGGGGTGTAGGGATGTTAGCAAGGGCTGCAGTGCAAGGACGAGAATCTGCTGCAATGTGAGAGGAGAGCTGGAATGGAGGGGGCTGGGGAGAGCCATGGCTGTGCTGGTGAGGGGACGTGGATCCTCTGCACCCCCCGCGCAGGGACAAACCCTGGTGCAGCAGGACAGCCCCTGCCCTTGCAGAGGTCCAAGCTGGAGGTGGCACAGGGCTGCTGGCACTGCCTGACCTCAGCCTGTGGGCAGTGTGGCACGTGGGCTCAACCCACGGCACGAGACCCCAGGCTTGGCTGCTCCAGGATGTGTTCCCCAGTCCCAGACCCTGAGCCGCGGATGGTGCTTCCAGGTGCTGGGGCCAGGCACAAGCCATTGGGACAGGAGCTGTGCATGGGAGTGTTTACTCTGGAGGAGGCCAGAGCCCGTTCCTACCCTTTTTTATCATTCAGGGACATGGGCTGCTCAGGAAGGTGGTTTGTGCTAATACAACTCCAACAGCCCTCTTGATTTATGATTTATTTATTTATATATGCAGAGTCAAGGTGCTCAAATCTGTGTTCTGTCTCAGGGGGAGAGAGCTCGGCTCAGCCATACCCTTACAGGGAGAGTGCTGTTACGTGCAGGCATTGAGAGTGTCTCTGAATGAGAAATACTCTTAAAAGCCTCTGAACTACACACAGAAACCCACTGTGGTGTAACTCATTTCTAAGGAATATGTGAGCCAAGCTGTTTGTCTTGACAAATAGCATCGCCTTTCCTTGGGAAGCTGATGTCTGTTTGTACATTTATGTTAAATTGCAACATCCATTCTGGTTTTGGAAGCACATTGGTCACAAAATCATTATGCATAGTCTTTAATTTGCTGGAGTGGGGAGGAGGTACCGGGAGAAATTTTGATGCCGATTAGGAATCTGCAGCCAGGTTAGCTGGTCCTGGATCACCTGTCAGCAGCTCGCAGGAAAGCCTTGCTGCCTGGGTGGGCTGGGAACCGAGCAGGTCGCTGCACAGCTGCCTGGGAGCCTGATGAGCTAATCAGGGGATCAATTAACGAAGGGAGCAGCAGGCTATAAGAGAAGACTCCCTGCCTCACTGCTTTTTTTGCTAGTGGTGTACCAGAGCTGGGTTTGGAGGAGCAGTGGAGTGGTCTGGAGGGAGGCTGGGCACCATGCTGGAGTGTTCAGGGACCGGCAAACACAGGTACTGCTTAGCTGCCCTATGGCTTTGCCTGGGAGGAGGCTTTTAAAGCTCTGCACAGCCTCTGTGGCTGGTGCCACAGATGTAAAAGTAATGTGGTCTCGAATTGTGGCTGCTGTACTTTAATTCCCAGGATGAGCTTATCTATGGCCACATGAACCTTTCAGCCTGCAAACCAATATCTGCTTCATTCTGCTGGTTGCTTCTCTGCCTGCTGTGTTTTGGGAGCATTACATGCTTTCATGCCCAGGGTGTTTTTGCTTGTGTTGCTGCCCACTGGAGGGTAGGGAGGCTGTGTCATTCCCTTTGGGATGCTGGTGAGCAGCAGTGGGGTGAGTTGTGCTCCCTGTCCAGGGGCTGGCTCTGCCCTCCCTCCCCAAACTTATCAACCTTGTTGTTTGTAAGGTGGGAAGAATGCTAGGTAGCTTGAGCAAACCTCTGAAAAGTTCCAAAGCTGACGAAGCAGCGGTATTGCCATGTAAGTGGGTGAGCTTGAAAATCCTATTACAGGATTTTGGGATCCCCCAGTGGGAAAATGTAGGGGTGGGGGGAATGGGGATGGTGTGAGGGGTTAGGGATGGCCTGGAAGATGCTGGCATTACCCCAGTAGTAGCTGGAGACGTGTCCAAGCTGAAGAGCAGGCAGGTGTTTCCCGGAGCGCTGCCTGGCACTGGGGGTGGGCAGGCGGAAGGCTGTCCTGGTCCTGGCTGCCCCGGCAGCATGGCTGATGGCAGGGTGGTGCTGCCCACAGCCCAGTGTGCTGCCAAGCCCCGGGCTGAGGCTGTTGAGCTGTGCTGGCACGGTGTGGCACAGATGTGGGATGTGCTGCTGGGAATGTGCTCAAGATACCGAGGTGCCTGGCAGCTGTCACAGGCATGTCTCGCTGGGCTGGAAGGGTGCCCAGCTATGGCTGTCACTGTTACAGCTCATCTGGAGTGCTTTTAATTTGACCAGTTTAAGCTGTAATAGTGTTTAAATGCACAAATGCAGGCTTGCATTTCAATGTGTGATCAAGGTCATGGCCCATTATAAAGCCTTTGTGAGCAGGCATAGTGCATGCTGTCCCTTCTTGTGTGTCATCCTCTGTGATCTCTCAAGAACAGTTTTAACAAAATCTTTCCATCTCCTCTTGTTCTCCTTTGGGCCAAAACTGTCTTTGGCATAATGCTAACAAAGCTTAAAGCATCCATGTTTCAGTGGTCAGCACTCAGGAAGATGTTGCCCTGTTCAGCTAGACTGAGGACTCCTCTTGATCAAAAATAGACAGAGGAGGCTTGCTGCACCCTCCTCCTGCCATGTGGGAGAAACAATCTTCTTCCAAACAGGACAACACGTATCTAAATGCTCTGGTGCTGAGATTGTCATGTCTCGAAGATTAGCAGTCTTTTTTTCAGGGTTCCCTTTAAATCAGTGACATGGGCTGACCCTGTTTTATTTTTGGCTCCCCACTTACTGGTACAAAGGAGGGCGTCTCCATAAATTTTCGAGCTACAGCCTGTGAAGTTGGAGAGTGCGTTTGAGGAATGGAAAATATTGTGTTAATTGGAGCCATGCACAGCACCCAGCTGGAGCCCGGACACCCTTGGCAGCAGGGCTGGGGTTTGCCGCAGGTTCCCTCCCCACAGCCTGAGATAATATTGAGGTACTTATGCTAGGGACTTGCAGCCCTGGCTGAGGTCAAGCCAAATACAGAGTGACAATACCAGTATATAGAGGAGGCAGCAAAACACAGTGGGGAGAAAGTCCTACCTTCACAACGTCCTCATTTATGTGCTTTGGGTCTCTGTTCACCAGGTCGATCTCCTTAGTGTGCTGGTCCTTGATGATGATCCTCTCCTCCAGTTCGGTCTGTTCCTCTGCCATGGCCGCACGGCTGCGGGTGCTTGCGGAGCAGGGAACTGGGGTGTGCTGGGGAAGACGTGGGGAGTGTAGGGTGTGGGTGCGGAGGCACTGGCCCCCCTCCCAGCAGCTGCCCTGCAGCCTTGCGCCCTGGCAGCGCTCCAGGCTAAAATTAATGTCGCACCTCCCCGAAGCGGCCTTTAAAGGGGCTTTGCTGGGGACAGCCCTCGTGGTGTCATCCCTGGGGGGGTTCTGTGCAGAGGGCTGGTAGCCCTCCAGCCTGGGTGAGGGGGTGGCGTAGGAGGTGGGCATGCAGCCCCCCAGCCCACCCCAGCCAGGCACGTGGGGCTTTCCCCTTGCACAGGGAGAAGATGTGGGAGAAACAATGCCAAAACTGGGGCAAAAGTTCTCAAAAGCCTGAGAGAAATAGCTGTTCGAGGGAAATGGCTGTGAATGAATGTGTAAATGAAGGGGCTCAAGGGAGACAGGAATCATGTCTACAAATATTACCCAGAGAAGCTGCATTGTCCTGGGATGTCCAGTGAGCTTCAGGGTCCCTCTAGGAGCCCAGAAGGCGGCTCATGGTATCAGCTTGTATTTCTTTGATTCCAGCTTTATTACACAGAGAAAGTTGAAGAAATCCCCAGACCAACCCACAGATCCAGAATGGTCAGGATATCTCCCCTGTGAACAGTGGGGACAGTGACATTTAGCATATTAATGAAGATTTATTTAACTTGTGCTGTATTTTGATAATCCTCATTAATTTCTTCAGTGCTGTCTTGGTTTTTGTAAGGTGAGATTTCTTTAAAATTTAATGTTTTTTTTATGGGGGAACCACAAAATGTCCACACACCCAAAGCTTTTGTTAAATGAGATGTTTATGAACACTTTTCGCTTGAAGCGATGACTGGGTGAAGAAGTGAAGGGGTGACTGCACGTTAACCCCTGTTAATGTTAAGTGTTCGGGAGCTGTGCCTGAGCCCTGGGTGTCTGCCCTGTTCCGTGTGTGAAATGCTAAGATGTGGTACTTCTGACTGGGAAGTGCTTTGGGTTTCATTGCCGAGATGCAACATTGCTGCTGGCAGTGGCACCCGCATCACCTTGCAGGAGAGGAGCAGGTGGGAGCCCCCAAAAGTGCCTTGCTGATGGCCCCAGTCTGGGGGTGCTGTGGGGCAGGTGGCCCCTCGGCACACTTCTTGTGCTGCTCAAGGGCAGTGAAAGAGAACTGGTGGAGAGGGAAGGATGTCTGGTTCGTTAAGGAGGAGGGATCTATGCCCTGCACAACTGCTGGGCATGGAAGGGGGTTCTTCAGAGCCAATGTGCTCAGCTGGCATGGTGGGGGAGGCGTTTAAACTGCAAAGAGGCTGCTGCCTTCCAAAAACATCAGTGCCTGCGCAGTGCTGTCTTCATCAAATCCACGTGGCTTGGTGCCTGGAGCTTTCAGCGCTGCAATGGTTTTGTTCCAGCTCTTTGAGCTAATATAATACAGTGCAAAAATGGGATTGTGTTTTCATTTGGCTGAGGCGTAGCAGGTCTCTCAGGCGTATTCATTTTTCCTGAGAAGTTGTGATGGTGAGGGCCTGGCTGAGCATTACCACAGGTTGAAGGCTGCCAGACTTCTCTAACTCCTGCTGCCTGCAGTGATTTTAGTGTTTTTTTTTCTGTAGCAGGGTGGTACCTCAGTCTGGAAACTTAGTTTTTCTTGGGATTTCTGCTCTATTGCAAGTGCATGTGGTGATGCTCTGGGGTGTGACATATCCATGGCTAGAAATGTGATGGCTGTAGCTTGTGAGAGACCTCCCTGACCCCTTCTGTGGGGAGAGAAAGGGCAGAAGTGGGGTGGGAAAGTAACCACGCAAACCCATGGCGTACTGCAAAAGTAAAGGAGGTGCCTATGGAGAAGGGACAAATTCTGTGTGGGAGCACCCAGAGTCTGGCTCCAGCCAGGCTGCCAGTGGGTCTCTGCCCTTTGGTGGGACAGTCAGACCTGGCTGGGTTGGTGACTGGGCTCTCTGCCCAGGTGCCAGTCCCAGTTTCCCCCTTGCCAAAGGGGGTCACACAGCAGCTGGCACAGCCCAAACCCAACGTGGGCTGGTGTTGCAAGCACAAAACTCCTCCGTGCTCCAAAGGTTTGGGCACGAGCTTTCAGTCCAGACCTGCTTTGTCACAGCTGAATTCCCCTCTGACAAAATTTTCTAACATCACTGCTGTGACAGCTGAGCTTTTACCTGTTACCTGTGCTTCAAGAGAATGCAAAGGGTGTTTTTGTACAATAAGCTGTTTTCCCCTTACTCTGAGCTGAAGGAACACATTGCTGGCGTAAGCGGGGCTGTGAGCGGAGGTGGCGTGCGTGAGTAACCAGCGTCTGATGGAAGAGCAACGCTTGCTTGGCTGGGAACCAGGGCCGAATTTAGGAGGCACAGCTGCTGCCGGCAGTGACGGAGGAGTGCGACACAAGGTATTTGCTCTGCTGCAGCTCTGCTTGTTCATCCACCCGTCCCATGTGGAAGGCTTTATTCTGGGAAGGTGGGGTTGAGGGGTTTGGTGGTCTGCCTCTCTGCAGTCCGGGGGGCTCGGCTGGCTGCTCCGATACCCAGGGCTCTGTAGGGGGACTGTGGCCGTGGGGTGCAGCATGCCCTCACCCCTGCTTCGCTGGGCCCTGCCCCACCTCTCGTATGGGATTTCTAACAGCGTGAGTCACTTGCTGTCTTTAGGCTTGGGCTGGTCCTTGCTGTCTGCACTTGACTTGCTGTCTTTAGGCTTGGGCTGGGCTGGTCCTTGCTGTCTGCACTCAGACGTGTGGCTTTGGTGTCCCAGGCGTGGGAGTAGGAAAATGTGAACCCACGTAGTGGTTAACATGCAGTTAGTAAGCGTCTCAAGTAGCAATGAGAGAGAGGAGGAATATTATGTTGCACCATGGATGCTATAAATATATCTGTTTCAGAGTACTTCAAGACTGTGAATGGGACATCATGTAAAAGCTTCTGTGTGCAGAGGCTGAAGTGGGCTAACCGTAGTATTAGTTTGCTAGTAACTAATGACAACCAGAAGTCTTATTGCTAAGTATAGATGATAAATCAATAGCAATGTCAGCAAATATTGAAAGTATTTGCTGGCCATGGCTTGTCATGTGGAAACCCTCTCCCATCCTGGCCACGCAAGAGACAGCTTTTAATTTCTTGGCAGTGCCCTTCGCTAGTACCAACTCACGCTTCAGCTGCACAGCAATGAAGTTGTTGTGGCTCTTAGTATAAATTCCAGCTTTTGTATAGCAAATGCATTCCTCCTACCCAATCAGGGCTTCTCCTTACAGAGGATTCCTTTACTGGCCTGCTCAGGCAAGTCCTCAGCTTTAACTGGTCCCCTTGTCCCCATAGTGCAGCTGCCCTCAGCCTGCCCTTGCCTGTCTGTCTGTCCAGCTCTGAGCATAGAGGAAGGGGATTCAGGTTTGTGTAAAAGACTGAGCAGATCGAGTGTTCCTGCACACATGGGTGTGTTAAAACCCAGCTCCACACCCCAGTGCAGGAGTCTGAGGTGTGCCCATTTATCAGAGGATGCTCCTACCCTGTGAATATGGTATTGCTGGTGGCCACTGCACTGGGAGGCTTCTGTTGTTCAGCTGTTTGCTGTCATGATTTCTTCCCCTCTATTTGAAGCTTTGTGCTGCAGCACTGAGAGAGAGGAGGTGCCTCTTGGCTGCTGCTGGGGTCACCATTTTGAACTGGAGCTTACTGGAGAACCAGGGCTCAGGCATGTGGCTTGGTCCTCCTCATCCCAAAGCCTTCCCAAACTGTCAGGCATCACTTAGGATGTGAAGTAGACTCCACTACTTCTGTTTAGCTTGGAGAGTTTTTCCTATGCTCCCTGTATATCAAGTCTTTGAAGGCTTTTTTCTGCCAGGAAAATGGAAAGAGTTGCATATACAGCAGAGCAGAAGTGATCCAGCAGGAGCAGGGCAGGGCTGATCAGGGAAGTGCAGGACATGCCTACTCAGTGCTGCTAGGGTCACTTGTTCTCTGCTGGAGAGAGCTTCTCCAAAACCCACGCCATAAAATGCCCCTGACCCTTGGAACAAGGTGCTGCTCCCTTTGCTCCTCTACCTATGCTGGATGTTTGTGGGCACCTGCACGACCTGCAGCTGCACTGAAATTCCAAGCTTTCATTTTGGGAACTTTTGTTAGGAAACCTTGTGACAAGTTTCCCTCTGCAGAACTGAATAGTTACCATTGATGCCCCAACCAGCCTTACATGTGGTCTCAAGGGGGAGTATTGTTTGGGCTAGAAGGACTAGTGCTACGAACCTGGAACCCTTCTAGAGGTCAGATGGACAACCTGCTGCTCGGTCCCAGCAACTAAAATGTATTTCTCTAGAGCAGAGAAGAATAAAGCAGCAATAAAGCCTGCAGGAATCAAAGCTCCTGTGCAAATAGACTGGAATTGCAGTGAGTAGTAAAGGAGGAGAAGAAATTGGGAGCTTTTGCTTTCAAGACCTTGGAGACCATGTGGTATGCTGTGAGAGAGAGGAGAGCCAGCTACAAAGTGATGCTGGTAAATGAAGTCTTAGGTTAAAGCAGGAGGGAAAGCTCAGTGCATAAACCCTGACATCAAGAGTTTTAAATCCTTCAGCTCAGTTTAGTGTGTATAAAAACTAAGCAAATGAATGAGTATTTCAAGCAAGTGGAAGATACTGCCAGATGGGAATGTGTGAGGGATCAGCTCTGCCTTCAGTGCTTGGAGCAGAGCTCTCCTTGCATTTTTTTTTTTTTAAAGCAAAACAAAACTACCTTTCAGGTCTCCTTCCCACAGACATCTTTTAGCTTTTCTGACTATCTGTTGCAGGTTAAAGCTCAGTTTTAATGATCCATTCCCTTGTGTTGCTTCTTCCTGAAAATGGGAGCCCACATGCAGTAGTGTTATGTGATCCTGTCTTTGGTTCCTCTTGTGTTACCACTGTGATGCTGTAAGTCAGAAGCCAGAGGATGGGTTTGCTCCGGTGACAGGAGAACCCATGTGCAGGCTTGGTAGTGCTGGGGATGAGTTTCCCTTGTTTTGGG